GAATATGTTAGATAAAAGTAGTTTAGGAAAAATGAAAAAAATTATTAAAATTGTATTTAAACTTAAATAATTTAAAAAATGTTAAGCAAAGTTTCTGATAATTTTACGTTATATTTACGAATGGTCCCCTAGTGACGTGGAATGGACGGAATCTATAAACGTTATGATACATGTTGCTTGTTACAGTAGACTTAGATAATGTAATATATGTAGTTAGTGATTCGGCACATCGTACTGCAGATTAAAGATGTATATATAAATGATTAGTGCTGTATAATATATAAATATTTATAAACTCATTCGGTCTTATCTGAAATTAAATGCATTTGCTCTCCATCAATCATATGATAAAAACAGCCTGATGCTTGTGACACTTGTCACGGCAGTAGCTGCTAGAACGTTGCACCACAATAACAAAAATTTCATTGGTTATCGATAAGAGTAAATGTCATATATATTTAGACATGTCTAAATATGTCTAATAGATACCGATCCCAAAGAGTGGTGATAAAAGAGAATAAGTCACCTTAAACTCCATTGAAATTCCGCTCAGTGCATTGAGTGTGTGGCAAGCTGAGTTATTTTGTTGCCTCTCGTATTTCAAGTGTTGCTTGTTACTTGCAGCGTCACCAGCCGCAGCATATGCCAGCTTCACTCAGTTCTCGCCCAGCTCTGGAGAGCGTCGATCGGCCACGGCAACGCGTACTTAGGTGAACATTATTTTGAAAGCTTTTGCTAATTGAGATTTAAAACTTAGCTCTGACGGAATTGCAACAGAGCAGTAACCCCAGGTAAAAGAGAACCTTTTGAGTGAGTCTCTCCCGTGTTTTTGTAAATGGTGCGCGGTAATATCCGAAAAATTCTTTACCTCAACTTATAAAAATTCCAGCACTCAGTGACAGAGAGCAAGTTTCACACAATATTTGCTAAAAACTTCTGATTCTTAAAACTAACTTACTTGATTACGTTTAAAAGAAGCAACCAACAAAAACAAAAACAAAAGAGAAAGGTAAATTTCCTATATGTTTAATTTATTTACAATTTTTTAATTCATATCGTTTTAAATCGTTATTGCGATTTACTAAATTAGTACATAAATACACACTATGATGGTTACTTAAACTGAAACATATTACAAACGTCACAGACATGCTGAATATATGAAATAAATGATGATTTATATATTAAAGAATAAAATGTAGTGCTGCAGCTATTTTAATTAAGACCACCACCTAATTTAAAGGTTCACAGTTTATCTTAATTTTCTTACCCCTTACGTTAGACGAAACCAGGAAAACAGAATACTTGTTATACCCTGAACCCATTAAAAATGGCTATAAGGGTATATTGTATTTGTGCAAAATGCAAGTGTATGTAACAGGCAGAAGGAAGCATCTCTGACCCCATAAAATATGAACGCAAGGATCTCAGAACCTATAAGAGCTAGAAACTTGAAATTTTAGATGTAGGTGCTTCTAGTTTCCGCGCAGATCGAGTTTGTTTCCGATAATCGATAACTTACTCCGATTTCAAGCAATCGATATCGATATCCTGTTTTTTGGCCAATTTTGGTAAATAATAAGAGTCACCATACTTGACATATAGCTTCTAAAATAAAATATATATATATGCATTTGATGTTGGAAGAAGAGGGTTCAGGGTAGCCCCTATTCGGGAGCTTCCGACTAGAACCTCTTACTTGTTTTTTGTGGTGTATGCATGATTTACAAGGTGAATCGACAATAAAAGAGCAGCGTGACAGCAAAGTAGTTCAGGACTGAAGAGTGGTATACAAATATATGTATACTAGCTAAAGAAAAACATAGGATGAATGAACAGTAATCATACATATGACAGGATATTGGCAAAATACCATAGTTGCTTTTATCTATCGCCAGTTTCAATTGTTAATTGATAATCTATTTGAATATTTACTTATCAGTATTTATTTATTATGTGAAGTGAAGTGGTGTAGACCCTATTCTATATCTTCAATTTGTGACTCTAGCTTCATAAATTCATAGATTACCCAAACAACAAAATATTGATATCACTTTTTATTGAATTTGGGAAAAAGTTAAGTTCTCGTTAATTTGAAATAAACTTGATATTAGGAAGAACTATTTGCAAAGCTTCAAATTTGGGAACCATTTGCAGGCTATAAAATAAGTAAAAGTACTCGCTATAGAACCCTTGGTATTCGCTTTCATTCCTCTTCATGTATTGTTTGCTCTGAACTTTAAACAAGCGTCAATTGCTTAACTACAACTGCCCGTGCAAATAGTTCGTACACATAAAAATGTATCCGTTTTGAGAGACTGAAGTCAATTGGTCTCAAAAACGTTACACATGCCTCCAGACAAGGCAAATTCAGTTGCATTCCTTTAAATAAATTAAAATAAAATATAAAATTGTTGATGCAGCTGCTTCCAGTGGCCGTTCTTTGATCGCAGATCTTATGTATGCATAGACAGCTTACAAAAAATTTACATCAGACAACTTATTCATAAATTTATTTACTGATTGCCTTAAAAATAAGCGAGAGGAATGCCGGGCCCCCTTCACATGTTCACCAGATGTGCAACATCCACAATGAAATTGTGTAAGACTAGATTTAGTAATGAGTTCTGACTGCAGACAATTCGTGAATAATCTGAATGTTATTTAAAAGAAAAACTGAAAACTTATTTAAAGCTGTTTCTCATCTACCAGTGCGTGTTTTGACTCGATCTAGCTAGGAGCTAGGAGCTAGGAGCAGGAGCACCTACATCTAAAATATCAAGTCTCTAGCTGTTATAGGTTCTGAGATCCTTGGGCTCATACATACGGACGGACAGACGGACATGGCTAGATCGACTCGGCTATTGATGCTGATCAAGAATATATATACTTTATGGGGTCGGAGATGCTTCCTTCTGCCTGTTACATACGTTTGCATTTTGCACAAATACAATATACCCTTTTTACCCATTTTCAATGGGATCAGGGTATAATAAAAAAAGAGACTTATATTATAAATAAATGTGTATTCATTTGTTAAACTATTCATGCAAAATAGCTCGTTTGAAATCCTGCCTCAATTTTTTTATACACACCCAGTTAAACTAAATCTAATAATTAACCGCGTTTTTATTTTTATGTCTTTTTTCCTCAGGGAGCCAGAGTACATAGCTGGCCAGCCGAAATGATTCTTTTAAAAACCGTGTCCACACACGCCATGATCCATTCTTTGCTAGCGACAGTGCTGCTGATGCCAACGTTGATTTATAGTCATGAGTATCATGGCAGTGAGAAAAACAGTGCCATTGCTCTGACTGAGCTCGCTAGGGGTGCGAAACTGGTTATGGAAAATCACTCTGGTGACGTGATAGTGCGTCCAGCGCGTGAAGCTGCAACTGAAAAGTTGGCTACAGTGCCTGTAACTGCTACAGTTGGTGGAAATAAACGTGTAAGAAACAACAAAAAAGGAAACAAACTGCACACTCACATGCAGCGCGAAGATGCAGCAGGTTCTCGCAAGTCAAGCTTAAAGAAATCATCTTTACCCACTGGTAAGGATGTTCTGATGGTGCAGCCGCGACATTTGCTAAAGCCTAAAAATGAGGAACATCAGCATCGTGCAGGCAAAAGATCGGGAGCAAGGACAAAGGCTACACAAAATGGTATGCTAACAAGTAAAAAGTTCTAGTCGGGAGCTTCGGACTAGGGGATACCCTGAACCCTCTTCTTCCAACATCAAATGCATATATATATTCTATTTTAGAAGCTATATGTCAAGTTTGGTGACTAGTTCTTATTATTTACCAAAATTGGCCAAAAAACAGCATATCGATATCGATTTTTATCGATTGCTTGGAAACGAAGCAAGTTATCGATTATCGGAAACAAACTCGATCTGCGCGGGAGCTACGAGCACCTACATCTAAAATTTCAAGTCTCTAGCTGTTATAGGCTCTGAGATCCTTGGGCTCATACATACGGACGGACGGACGGACAGACAGACGGACATGGCTAGATCGACTCGGCTATTGATGCTGATCAAGAATATATATACTTTATGGGTTCGGAGAAGCTTCCTTCTGCCTGTTACATACATTTGCACAAATGTATTATAGCCTTTTTACCCATTTTCAATGGGTTCAGGATATAAAAATTGTAATTTATAAACTTTACGAAACAATACTATATAATCGCAAACCTTATATTTTGGTTAAAAATACGATTGTAAAGTCAAGTCAACTGCGTTCTTTAAAATTTACCCCAACCTTTATTAACTGGTCACATACATTCATGTTAATAATTTAAATAAATAATATTATATTTTTCACACAGCACCATCTTGTCGTTATGCAAAGAGTTCATGGACGGACTGTGATGCTAAAACTAACATGCGCACGCGTACTCTATCTCTGAAAAGGGGCGAGTCCCACTGTCCACCCACTCGGACCATACAGAAAAAGTGCAAAAAAGGTTAGTAAATAGCAATGTTGGCAGCAAAGCAATATATTTCATATATTGATTTGTCACATTTTCGGATTTATTAGCTTGCCGGTATGAAAAGGGACCCTGGTCAGAATGTATAGCTGGACAAATGACACGTGAGGAGAAATTAAAGGCATCTGAAGATGACACTCAACACAGCTGCGACCTCGTTCGCATTAATAACAAAAAGTGCAATCCTGGTGCTATAGAAAAAAATACAGCAACCGGCGTTCGCTCTACCAAGGTGCGTAAGCACAAGGAAAAAGGTAACTACTGCGATTACAATACAAAGTCTTTACTAATCTTTTAGAAATCGCAGGTACCCGCCAGACACCGACTCCAGCTTAATGGGTCAAATGGGTAAGGTTATAAATCAACAATGTATTTAGCAACAGCACAAAATATAGTAGCTTTAAGTTTAAAAAAGTTTAAGTAAAGTTCGGCCTGCATTTAGCAGGCAAATTATATATTTTATATATATTTTTAAACTTTTTAAAACGTATGCTTTCATGAAAATTTTATTTGTATATTGTTTTTATATGCTTAATGGATTAAAACCTTTATCAAAATTGTACTGATACTATTCGTGGCAATGAATAAGCAATAGGGATGATAATGTGTTAATGAAAAATTAATAATCCTAATTAATTAATAATCCTATTAATTTTTTCTAATGCCGCGCAGAGTTTGAGTATCTGTTACCGTTTAAAAATCCAGCATTACCACCAAACGAACCACCGCTATAGCTTCTTTGGTCGGTGCTGCTACTGAATCCCCGTTCGGTGTTGAAACTACTCCTGGCCGTGCTTGATGGATCAAAGCGATTGCCAGATTCGCTAAACGCGCTAAAGCCACTTAAAGAGCCACGATAGGAACTGAAAGCATTAGATCTTCCGGATGATCCATTGCCGCCTGCGACATAATTTCTAACAGATCCACGGCCACCACGACTGCGTCCACTGCCACCGCCCGCATCGCGTGCTATGTATTCCAATTCTGGATTTACGATTTGATTTGCCTCTCGCAGGATCTCAATCAAAGCGCGTGCGCATTTGGTGTTTTTTCGTGTAAAGAACGCATACGATGTTCCTGTAGAATGCTTTCGTCCAGTGCGCCCAATTCGATGTATGTAGTCCTCTGATGATTGTGGAAAATCAAAGTTAATGACATACTTAATGCCATCGACATCAAGGCCGCGTGCTGCCACATCGGTTGCCACTAATATATTGGCACGGCCGCTACGAAAGTCATTAAGCACATTGTCACGATCCATCTGGGATTTGTCGCCATGAATGGAACCCACACCAACGCCAAAAGCATTTATGAACCGTGCCAGTTCATCCACTTTTTTTTTAGTGGCTACAAATATGATAATCTTTCCTGGCATGGCGGCCTGGTCATAAATGTGTGATAACAGGTCTTTTAATTTTGCGCCTTTCTCATGCTCAGCGCAAACTTCTACATATTGCCGAATGTTGTGGTTGGCTGACAGTTCCAATGAGCCGATGTTTATCTTTGTAAATTGTCGAGATATAAACTACATTAAAAATCGCTTTCAATTCAAACTTACCTGTATGTAGTTGCCGAGGAAGTCTTCTGCTAGTTGACGTACTTCTTTTGGCCAAGTTGCGCTCCACATCAGTATTTGACGGTCTGGCCTGATTTGGCCAAGTATTTTACGTATCTGCGGCTCAAAGCCCATGTCCAGCATACGGTCAGCCTCGTCTAATACAAGGTATGTGCAGCGACGTAGATTTGTTGTACCGGCTTGTAGAAAATCAAGCAAACGGCCCGGTGTGGCAATCACAATTTCGACACCACGTTGCAAGTCATTGGCTTGCTGAGAACGCGGAGCTCCTCCAAAAATACATGTATTGCGTACAGAGGAGCTGGAGCCAAAATCATTGGCCACCGACTGAATTTGCTGAGCCAGTTCGCGCGTAGGCGCTAGTACAAGTGCTATGGGACCCTCACCACGCTTTAATGGCTCTTGACCTCTGATGTGCACTATGGCAGGTAGTATAAAAGCCAGCGTCTTGCCTGAACCTGTCTTAGCTATGCCAACCAAGTTGTTGCCTGACATAACTATTGGCCATGATTGGGCTTGAATTGGTGTGGGTTCTATGTAGCGCTGACGTCGTATTTCATTCATGCAATATTCTGGAAAGCAAGCTTCATCAAAACACTGGATAGGGTTGGGTGCCAGACCCCGTACGGTGATTTGATGCTGGGCACGGTAGCAATCAACTTCCTGTGATGAACGATTACGAGTTTTTAAATGTTCCTGGTAAAAGCTTTTCTGAAATGGCTGTAGTCGCATGTCCGACCAGTTAATATTGTTCATGCCTAAGCGAATAAATATTAGTTGATATAAGATACAAATAATGCTACATACTGCAAAAATCATCGTTTACAGCACCAGCACCGCGGTTTAGACCGCCACTACGACGCGGACGGCTTTCAATGCGCCCAGAACGTACTGAAATATTGTTTTCAAAGAATTATAAAAATATTTGTGTTTTTTGGATTATAAATATCTATACCACCACCATATACTCCGAAACCAGAACGAACTGCAACATTTGTTTTAAAGCATTCAGTAAATTAAAGTTTTGTTTTTCATTATTAGCCATTTTAAAGCATTTGGCAACATTATACATACCGCCACCACTTCCTCCGAGGCTACCGTGTCGTGGTGGCGCCATGGCTCACTTTATTTACAACAGGAAACCGGTAAAGAAAACCCAATAATGATTTTGATCGTTGTCGGATTTAAATAATATTTGTTCAGTATATTGATAATATTTGCAAAATTATGTCCTTTGTCGGATTGCTTGACTTTTTCTAAACTTGCTTCTTCTTTCGATATTTTGACTTACTAGTGCCATTATAATTTGACGATCTGGTAGCACTCATTGTGTTTAGAAGGTGGCAGCGCTTATGTTAATGTTTCGAAATCTATCTGGCAGCTCAGCCATTTTTCTTAACAATTCTTTTTTGGCTTGAAAACCGTTTTATTTTCTTAGCTGCATAATTTTTCCGATACATAGCCTATTTTTTAAACTGCGGTTTTTCGACATCCATTTTCTTTTCTTATATATTGCATATTTTTCTTAATAACAGAAAGATAAACATATAGATACTTAAAAAAATATAAAAATTGATTAAAAATAAATATATTGATTTATATTTTGCTTATACATAATTATTTACCTAGTGTTACTTTTTTAATTACTTGTCTAGTTTAATTATAGTTTTTAGTATAATTCACTTAAAAACAAGAAAAATGTATCACTTTTAAAATCGCTCAGCAATCATACTTTAACTGTCATTGACTGGTGACAATTTATGAAAAACAACAAAACTAAAAAAAAAATTCCTCGGCTGATTTAAACAAAAATGTCAAATTTTTCAGTGGCCATTTCGTAAATTGGAAAATCAAAATAATTCATTTATTTGAATCTGCAGACATACGTTGCAATTTGCAAATGACTCCAATCGCAATAGGGCGAATGCTGTACGGGGGCTCACGCTTCAGCCGCAAGCTCATAAATACTTCTCGTGCGCTCACATCAGGCTTATGGCACACCATGATTAATAGTGTCATGCTACAGACACATGCGGGAATTAAGTGCGCAGAAAAGAGAGCGTATATGCCTCCCTGCAATCTATATTCTAACTATTTAGAATCCCCGCATCTTGTGTATTTGATACACCGTCGCTACTCAACATGTGAGAAAACATCAACGCAGATACTGTCTAAATTATTCCCGCAGACATCAATGGAGCTAGACGATGAGGCGAGTCGTGATCGACGTAAGCGTGAGGAAGAGGAAGAACTTAGGGAAATGGAGCGGGCCTGGAAGCGTATGAAAATAGGGTTTGGGGTCTTTGGTGTGGGAGGTGTGATTTTCTCTTTTTGGGCTATTTACTTCTTTGGTAAGCCGTCGCTTGATGAACAAGGAAACGAAGTTACGGACGAATTCAGCTCTTTGCCGCTGGTTAAGCAATACTTGGCGCGTACTTTTAAGTCACTTAATCATTTTCAAAGGTTCATTCAGGAACCCTCAAGCCAGAAATTGCTGCCTGATCCGCTACAGGCACCTTATGTTCAACCCCCCTACACACTGGTACTTGAGGTTAAGGACCTGCTTATACATCCCGATTGGACTTATCAAACGGGGTGGCGTTTTAAAAAACGTCCTGGCGTGGACGTTTTCTTAAGGGAATGTTCCAAGTATTTTGAGATTGTTGTATATACAGCCGAGCAAGGAATGACTGTTTTTCCGCTGCTTGATGCCCTCGATCCCAGCGGCTATATAATGTACCGTCTTGTGCGTGATTCAACTCACTTCGTTGGTGGCCACCACGTGAAGAATCTTGATAATCTGAATCGCGATCTCAAGCGCGTGGTAGTCGTAGACTGGGACAAAAACTCGACAAAAATGCACCCGGGAAACACATTTTCGATACCACGCTGGTCTGGAAACGACGATGACACAACATTATTTGATCTAATCTCGTTCCTAAGCGTGCTCGGCAGCAGTGAAGTGGACGATGTGCGGGAGGTTCTTCAATATTATAACCAGTTTGAGGAGCCCATTGCTAAGTTTCGCGAAAATCAACGAAAGCTTTGTGAACAGATGCAGGCCGATGAATTTGAGAAGTTGAGTAAGCCGAAGCCTATGGTAAAGAACTGGTCGCGCGGCTTCATGAAGCCCTAAAGGTATATCGTAGAAGCCTTTTAGGTTTAGAATTTAACGTTCGTTGCCTTTTCATTGTTGTGATTTAACAAATTATTCTCAAAATAATGTGTATATTTATTTACTCTTAAACCCAAGAACTAATAATTTTATTGATTATGACTTTGCCGCTGGCGTTTTAGTTTAAGTCCAGCGCACTATGCAATTTTTCCAATTGGTTGTTTATATCCTGAAGTAGAGTATGTAGATTTGTCAGCTGGGCTATTTTCCTAATGCTAGTAAGGCCAGTTTTCACCATGCTTGCATGCAAAATATTCCTGGCTAAGTCGAACGTCAGCTGCTCCCTTTTAAGTTTTTTTCGTATCTCCAATTGTAATTTCTTGATGTGGAAGATCTGTCGTCTTCGCTTATAGCATTGGAACTGCCGTTTTAATGTATATAAGATGAGCAGCAGCCAGAATGTAAACACAATTACAAAATAATAGGGTCCCTTAATTAAAACAAAACGTCCATTAACGTCAAGAGCGGAACTTAATCTATATGCTTTCTTCTCTCCGAGACCATCCATTTCTGCATATACGATTTATTAATGCACTCCAACAATACTAATGTACTTATGTGCTATAGACTTAGAATCAAATGACACAAAATTCAATGAAAAACAAATGATCGATATATGTAAAACTGTACTTATTTCCTGTTCTGATCAAATTCAAATCCATAAGGGTATTAAGTGGTAGTTAAATACAAAGAACTCGTTACTGCTGCAAGTGTTGAATATTGCTGTAACACGGTTGTACTTATTTCCTGTTCTGATCAAAGTCTAATCCGTAAGGGTATTTTAAGTCGTAGGTAAATACAAATAACCCGTTACTGCTGCAAGTGTTGAATATTGCTGTAACACGGTTGAACAAGCAAGACATTTTTATATTGATCATCTGTGAACAGAGAGCTTTTCCCAGAAATTTTGTTTTAAATGATAAAATCAAAGAGTTAAATGCTTGGGCACTATCTAAAATGCATCATTGCCAAAACAAAGAATACAAACTCAGAATTGAAATTGGAATTGAATTCAAGGACATCGTCAAGGCAGCCAACTTCCAGCTATACATATATATATATGTAAAATACAGAAAAGGTAAACTATTTTGCGCGTTGCAATTTATCTGTAATTATAATGTACAAATATATATGTATATATATATATATATATATATATATATATATAAACGTTATAACATACAGAAGAGAGGAATTCTTCATACATCCACATTTGCAGCGCGCACACATGGCCACTTCAGCTTCGCCCACGCAAACTCTGCAACATGTTGCCGGTTAAAGTTTTCCTTTGTTTTCTGTGTTTTCGTATGTGTAGTTGAACACGTGCTAAGATAAACGAAACACTTTCAACAATCAACAACATTGGTTTCTATATGCCATGCGCGGCTCTGAATAGGAGAAACTTATCGGGGCATCATTGACTTGAAGAGAATTTCAATACTTCTAAAGGGATGCTGTGGTTGCCTACCTTTGAATATGGGTCAAAAGGGTATATTGTTTTAATATTAATGAATCCAACAGGCAGAAAGACGGGTCGATATCGGAAACTAGAAATGCTAATGGCTGTTTTTTGCTATGCCATACGATGATCGAGCTTATACCTTTTTCGAGATATCTCCTATTATATGCATGTATCTATAAAAATCGGTTTTGGGGCTTGGGATGTTTAGCATAGCTCGAAGACTATAAGTGCTAGATATACCAAATTTTTTATAAAGGCGCTCGTTTGGCATACACTGATAAGGAACATTTCACGTTTCAAATAGCGCCCCCGTATATATATTAATAACTTCAGAGTAATACAAATTCTATAACAAATTTTAAATTGCATACAGTAAAACATTTCATAAATGTGTTAATGTTTACGATATTAAACGTTGATAAATTTATACGATGTGTTTAAGCAATGCATTGCTTTCTGAAAAGGATAGTGCATTCGAAAATAAATGTAAATGAAAATATCAAATATAACAAATTAACGCATGCGCCGAGCTACTCTAGATGATACATATGAGTCGCCAAGTTGTTGCCTCACTTTCACTGTGCAAACGTGCAAATCTGGAACAGTGCATAAGAACTGTCAGCCTCCTTGTCGACGTTTCGAGGATGGCAAATTGAAAAGCTTTGCATCTGGTTGTGAAAAGGAGCAATATTCTGTTTCCGAATGTGCTCTCTTCTGTTTGGATTTACGTATATTGCAAAAAGCTTTTGGCAACGCCGCAATGTTGTTCAGTTTAGACAGAAAGTACGTCGCATTCGTGTGCTGCGCCGCAATTTTTGATAGAATATTGTTTGTATCTCGAAAAGGAATGCCATTAAGAGCTACCAAGTAGATTACATAGTGAAGAAGTATAAGTGTGTTTAACAAAATAATGAATAAAGCAATGGAATAAAATAAAAGCTGGGGAAATTAAATCGCACGTGGTTTAATATTATGTGGGTATGTGCTGAAAGTATTCCCCAATTCCTGTTATATTGCTTCTCCGTATGAAAAGAAAATAACCAAGATATTATCTCTGTGTTTTTTTCTTGTATTTCATGTTTAAGAGTAAAATGTATCATCACATAATACTCTCTTCAAAATTTACATTAGGCAGTTATGCACTATGCTCCATAAGTGCTTCTCCGTATTGCAATACAACGTTATTAAATACAGATTTTCTTCCCTTTTTTTTGTCTTTAAATGGCTTAAAATCTTAATGCTCTTGTTGAAATACAATTTTAATTATAAACTTCAATGTTGAAATTCGTTTGAAGTTATTAGGTTTATTTTGAAATCATTAGAAAACTCCAAACCTGTTATTAGCTTACACTTTCCCCAAGAAAAAAGATTTAAGACAAGAGGCATCGTATTTCTACTGATTTATATCCTTTAATATTACTTAATGTTTAAAAACTGCACGAATACTACAGCCACACCCTAAACATATTTGTTTCGCAAGAAAAATGTTTGTGCACGGCTCTCACACAGGCACTTACACAAAAACTTTCAAACGGAAGACGTAGAGGACCGCAACATGTATCGACTTAGGTAGGTGACAACAAGTTAAAAAATAAATTTGAAAATAATAAAGGACTCAAAAATGTTAGCTACAAACAGAAACAGATGTTAAATGAAATTAAGTCAGTTAAAATAACAAACTTAAATAATTCAGTGTGTAGGAACTCTGCAATTATTTCTTTTACGATTTTTTATTCAGTGGGGTTAAACATGTGACATTTTATTTTATTGCTATATATTTATGGCAAAAGCAACGATAGTCACTTTAACTGTTTGTTGCGTTTTGTTGTTAGAGCCTTGATTGTTTTAAAAATAAATAAATAAATAAATTTTTAATTATATATGTATAAATTGTAATCCCTTTTATAGCCTTAATAAAAGAAGAAATAACCGCAGCGATGGCAACGGAAACCTATCTTAACTTGACAAGCGACCGAGCAAAATCATCGAAACACCCCATTAGGCCAAAATTACTTAAATTACCGGATGTTACCACACCACACCGTAGTCGCAAGAAGATTAAAATAAAGGTTGGTAATAGATAAATTTTTGAAGTGACAAATTTCAAGACAAATTTCACTCTTCGATAATTTTAATCTGCAGTCAAAAGATCGCTCAGCGGCTGTACGTGATCGCATCTATGACGATCCGGCCTACACAGAAGACATTAGCCATCTTGCCAACCCCCAGCGCCGTAGCAGCATATCGGGAAAATCTTCGAGAGATTATAAACATAGTTCCGATCATTCTACGCAGCCGGTGGCAAGTAGCAGCTCTTTAGGTAAACGCAGTCAATTGACAAAGGACTTTTTAAAGTATGCGATGAACGCACCCAGCAACAGCGGAGCAGTAAGCATAAACTTTGATTCCAGTAGTTCGGATAACGAGCAAACGAGGCTATTCAAGGATGGTAGCGAACCAAGGCGTGCTTTAAGCCTGGAGCGAAATTTAGCAGTTAATGCGGCCGAGAAGAATGATAAGAAATCGGCCACTCAAAAACGCAGCTCTAAGCAAAAGCGAAATCTTAGCCTTGATAATAGTCGGAAGGGAACCCAGCCACATTTGCAGCAGATTCCAGCAAAAAGAATACAAAGTTACGAGGCCGAAACACAGAGTCGGAAGGAACACAATCGGAAGAAATACCTGGAAACAGAAAGTAAAGTTGGTCGGGGGTCTAGCGATCACGATGACCTCTTCTCGGTACGTAGCTCGGCACAGAACTCGGCGGCCACGTTACCCATAGAAGCGAGTGTAAAGTTGCCAATCGGGCGACGTTTTTTAAGAGGCGAAATTGGTATCAAAAGCTTTAATTACTACCTCCTAAAGGAGGGATTAAAGAGCTCCAAAAAGCTTGATAAGCAACGCAATACAGGTGATACAACCGGCACAAGTGTCAAGAAATTACATACTCGCAGCGAGGAGAACATTTATGAAGAGATATTCTTTAAGGATACGCCAATCTCAATTAAACCAAAAAATAGCGCACCAATAACAGCTGGAACTGTGCAGCCCGATGAGGATATCGAAAGACAGCACCAGCAGCAGCATAGTATGCCAGATTCGGTCATTTTTGCTGATTGTGAGCTCTGCATGCAGCAATGCAGAAATGAGAATTGCAATTTTTGTCTTGTCCAAGGTGAGTCGACGGCAAATTGTCAGCTGCATAAGGACACTGGCAGCGATAAGCAGACAAGCACAGAAAGTGGATTGCCGGCTGCCCATATACTTGAATTTCAGTCATACAACCCAAGCAATCCGGGAGTATATAAAATTGAAACAACGCCCGTGGCAATAACGGGCGAATACAATCCAATATTGGAATTCCAGAAATCGTCTGCGAAAACATCCACAGCTGCCACGATAGCTTCCTGCGAGCAGCAGCATTATAACCATCGCAATCACCTACAACAGGATCAGCAGCAGATGCAGCTACCAGCTTACAGAGGATTTAATAAACACCAGGAACATTCCGAGTCTTACCAGCATAACGTAGCAAGTCGTCCGCTTGCTAATCAGTACAACGTAGGCGGCAGCCTGTTGCTGGCACAGGTGACAGCAGGGCAACCGCAGCCGCACCTGCAACAGAGTTATATTGTCGGCTACAAAAATGGTAGTGTTGCGCCGACAGCTTCATCCGTGCATCGTATCAATACGAAGTCTTCCTCGTCTAGCGACTCACTGCCCTATCACAAATATAACACAATGCCACTACTAGAAACGAATGCGTTTGCAGCACCGGGCACCGCTGACATATACTATGCCATAGGAGGCGTAGGGGCGCCATCGCTGCATCCTTTAATGTGCGCGGCCAGTAGACCTATTGGTGGCTCGCAAATTTTGGTCGATCAATTTGAATCGCATTTGTACAAAAGCGACTCGAAGGCTTCTATCCTGAGTGAGTTTTCTCTTCGCTGCAGCGACAATTCACAGCGGTACACGCGCTACCCGCATCGCTCCAGCCTCTTCTCCTCGCACATTCCTCGCACAAATCAGCGTCGACTCTTTGGCAGCACGGAGAACTGTCGGGTTGCCTATGACTGTAGACGCTGCAGCTTTGACGGCGTCATGAGTGCTGGTGGAGTCGGTGTAACCCCGGCTGATAAATGCAGCAACACGGATAACTGTCGCTACGAATGCCGTAACTGCGACTGCTCATCGAGCTATTTTAGTTCCGACTTTGATGATATTTATGGCTCGATGGCGCGTGGTGGCAGCAGTGGCATTCCGCGTAAAACGGCGGCAGGTACGTTGCCATCCAGTGGACCGACGGATCCAACTAGCTACAAGGCACCGACGCCTGAACAGCCGCAGCAGCTCGACCTTAAGCAGAACAAATATGCCATGGACTTCTTCAAGCATGTCAATGATGTAAAGCGCAGCATTTACCAGTCCGAAACGCAGCGTAATAATAGTTTGGAGTCCACACGTCGTGGACATCGAACCAGCACCTACAATAATTTCAATTTAAGTCCTAAAAGCAAAGCATCAAATCCCTTGGAAGCGACATTTATTGTGACTACATTGCCGCTTAGCAAAGGGCGTGCCATGACAGCAAAGCCCACGCCGGCGCCCAGGAACAGCCTTAAAAATCAGTCGCAAAAGCAGACACCGGAGAAAGATACGCACACACAAAGTAATCGTAAGCAGCATCCTACAGAAATACATGAATATCCTTCATTGGATCGACTAGTAGCCTCTACAACTGGTGCTACACCAAAGTGGAAGAGCCGCGCAACGTCGGAGGAAGGGCCTAAAAGCAACAAACAAAAGATCATAGACAAAGAAGCAGAGCTAAGAGAGCGACGTGAACGAAGTGCACCTACAACTTCCATTGAGCCAATTGCGTCATCTACAGTGGGTACCTCAGGTAAGAAACATCATCGCTCGAATAGCGGTAACCCAGCGTCAACCATACGTCGTAAGGATATACCCGCGCCACCGCCACCCTCACCAGCCACTTACTCAGATCTGCAAGAATTGAAGGCCAATATGGAGGGACTTCAGGACGACACCAAGTCACGCTCTTTAGAGAGTGAAGCCAGCGAAACTCCCACAACTACAGGGCAAGCAACTGTTAATGTGGTTGAAGCGACTGTAAAACGCACAGAGCCCGCTGTATTAACAGACGCAGCTGAAAGTAAGCCAACTATATTGGCACTGACAGCAGAAGAGACCGGAAAGGGCAAAGCAAAAACGGTTCCAAGCAAAACTGCACCGGAAGCGGATGAAGATGATGTTTTCTACGATGCACGCAGCGAAAACTCGATAGGCGGCTTAAGTGCCCCACCTTCAACGGAAGGGGCTATGCAATCAGCGAATTCTGGTCAAAAGAAAAAGGTAAACATGCAAATTTAATAAACTAAAGCTAGGAATCATTACCTTTGCAAGCAAATAAATCTAAATTTTACGAGAAAGTAAAGAAGTGTTCGGTACGCCAAAGATTTAATACCCGTGCAGACAGCTTCCAAACGGGTTTGCTCGTCAAATTTTAGTTCAATGAAAACAGAACTTTGCTAGTTCCTCCCTTATGGAAAATGTGTGCGTGATTTTCTGCGATGTTTATTGAAGGATCTTTTTGAAACATGCAGTAATAATATATTCTTCATATTTTATTTTTACATTTTTTACAGGATGTGTTCATTATACAGCTAGAACTTGATAAGTCTGGCGTATTTGCACAATCGGTAGGTACGAACCTGACAACGGATAAGAACAAGCAGCAAGAGTACCTCAAGGAAGAGAACTTCTTACCAAGTACAACGATGGATGCAACTATATCGAGTCAACCGTTACCAAATAATGCCAATGTTGCCGGGGCCAAAAGTAAAACATCAGCAGAGGCTAGCATCAATAAAAGTTTCTATACATGTTGCCAAACTGAAGCAACAGCCAGTATTCAGCGTAACGAAGCAACAGTCAAAACAAACACCGAAGTAGCGAGCACAACAAAACGCAATAATAATACAAGCACATCTGAGGTAACAACCAGAAATGTTGACGCAACTATAGCGGAGGGGCAAGCAACCAGTTTGATGGCAACAAATGTTGCCCACGACGATTCAACAATCATTGGAGCAACATTGGAGCTCGAGCTCAGTTGCAATTCAGCACACACGGACAGCGCAACGCTTGTAAACAGGTACGCGTAACGTGATATACTTTACACTGCCGCTAATCTGTAACAATACAGATAAACGCATACATACCAGGTTGTAAATACATATATATAGGCATCTAAGTTGTCAATTCCATAACTAAAAGCACTTGTTGTTTATTTGTGCAGATAATATTACACGTTGTAAATACAATCAATATTAACTGATTTTCGGCCGCGAGCAACACGCTTTAACAATCCGCATAATTTTTAAAAATATATACATGAGTTTGTGTTAAAAAAGTGCAGGGTGTGCGTCGTAAATGTTTGTGTGTTTAAACAGCAAATGTTGAGTGCAAAAGATTTAAAATGAGAATCTGTTCAAATGTTATAAATCCAACTGCATTACTGCCCGCTAGAGCTATGGTGGAATTGTACGTGCATTTGGAATTTGTTTGGAGGACAACACAAAAGCCCAACAAAAAATCGAGCTTAGGCTTAGACCGTCAACTCACTGGCCTTAAAAGTGGACTATTCAAATTATTATTGTTATCATTGCTACTATTATTATACAAAATTTATTATTTATTATTATTGTTATTATTCATTTTATAATTATTATTATTGCTATTTTTTTGTTATGAGTATTACTAATAATAATATAATTATTATTGTTATTACTTCGCCAATTTACTAAAGTTGCAGGTATTATTCAAATCAAAATCTCCGAATTATGTATTAAGTTTCTATGTAGCGTATACGATAAGTTTTTACAACCGATTTTTCACTACCACAAACGAACCTTCAGTTAAAACTTCAACTTGATGGCTTTAATGGTTTTGGGCGTGCGTGATCACAAATCAATTAATCAGGACAAATAGATATATTGATCAATTAAATTTAGGTCACACATTGCATCCCTAAAAAGTTTAATGGAAAAAAAATTATGGTAGCGAAATAAAATAAAAATAATAAAATGAGTGAAGGCCAGTAACTGTGGAAAGTTGGATATTAGTAATGAAAAAATGTTGTAAAATAATTAATAAGCTGTGGATGTTCACGTATTAAATTGATTCGGATTTTTGTGTAAAGATTTGGACTGCATAATGCATAATTTCTTTGCAATATTGTAGTAGTATTTTTGCTGTTGTCTGATATTTTCATTAAAACCGTACCGGAAATTTCCCGCGGATTGCGTTTATAATATAAATTTGATAATCAATAATTTGCGGAAAACATTTTCCTGCCCACAAAGCAGCCACACAAATATATAGTTGGTACGTAATTTGTACGTACGTAATTCAATTTGTTGTGTTTTATTTGCATTTTACCAAAAGTTCTCAATCTCTCATACATTAAAATGTAAATTCAACATGAAATCGTACATTTACACAACACATGAAAAAATAATTGAGTATGTTAACACCTTAGTTGAATTTTACTAACTACGAAATCGGTGCTTTAATCATAATAAATATACAATAACTATGGGGCTGCTATTGTTGTTGTTGCCATTTACTTGTTATAGCAAGCATATCAAAAAGATAAAATTTTAATAAAATATAAGCTAAATAAGAAGATATATTTCTACCAAGCCTAAACTATGCTAATCAAGAAACTGCCCGTAGACAAAATAGCTAGCTTACAACCTTGAGCCTTAAAGTGCGCAGCTTTGCTCAAACTGGTCAAAATTGGCTAACGTCCAGCATTTTAGGATTGCATGGGTATACCATAAACATTTTAATAAAGCGATAAAACTTGTTTTCTATGACCGCCACTTAATTTGCTCTTGGTCATTGGCTTTAGAGTATTGGCGGCGAGTTTCGTTAAGCCTGTTGCAACTGCAGTTTCTGCAACAGCAAACTTACCACTCGCTGCTCAAGGGGGCAGGGGAAACAGGGACAAGAGTACGAAAGCTGTAAAATGACTTGGCCCAAACTTGAAAGTGCATGTTTAAATTTGCAGACAACTGCCATCGATTTACCCATACCCACCACTAAATATCCCCTGCCACAAGCCACGAGACAGATAAGTTAAACCAGTTTCATAGGCTGCATTACTATGAGTTGTTTTCGTTTATACATTTGAGGTATGAGCATGTGTATGGGTAATGGCGATTTTTATACCCTGAACCCATTAAAAATGGGTATAAGGGTATATTGTATTTGTGCAAAATCCAAATGTATGTAACAGGCAGAAGGAAGCATCTCCGACCCCATAAAGTATATATATTCTTGATCAGCGCCAATAGCCGAGTCGATCTAACCATGTCCGTCTGTCCGTCTGTCCGTCCGTCCGTCTGTCCGTCTGTCCGTCCGTCCGTCTGTCCGTCTGTCCGTCTGTCCGTCCGTCCGTATGTCCGTCTGTCCGTCCGTCCATCCGTCCGTATGTATGAACGCAAGGATCTCAGAACCTATAAGAGCTAGAGACTTGAAATTTTAGATGTAGATGCTCCTAGTTCCCGCGCAGATTGATTTTGTTTGTATGATTGCGAACTAAACATTGTTAGAAATGCAGCAATGTTTAGAGCCATGTAGTATTAAAAAGTCTTACCTTTTACCCATTAAAACGTATAAATTCTTGTGCAAATATATGTTACAGATACAAAAACGCTGTCGCCGATAAGAACAGACTCTAGATTATCTTGATTGAGGCATGCTATAAAAGAACGGTAAACTAATAATATTGTTCTGCATATACCCTTTTAATCAAATATCAGTGGGTATAGAGTATAAAAACTTGTCCCAAAACATGATTGGATGTGTACAAATTATTTCCTGTTTCTTACGTGGAAATTTCACTTTCGTATAGTTTAGGAAATTTCAATTCACTTAGTCATTTATACTTGGCATTTTTGAATTAACTAACTGATTAACGTATTAGTCAGTAAAAAACTAATAATTTATTAACTAACCACTAAATAATTATTCCTTTTTTATACTTTCCCACATAATCATTAACTTTGCACTGATACCAAAGGGTAATGACATCGAATTGTCCATTATTGGTTGTACCCCATTATTTTTCAATAATAATAATGACTCTATTCACGAGTAGTATGCCTGATTTCCATTCATTTAAGCAAAAGTATATTATACCATACAAATAGCTGCTTTATCTTATTCCCATACGGCTGGGAGTTAGGTTGTTCGAAATTACCGTTGAGTGGCTAAATATAATAAGATCTAATTAATAAGATTGATATCCTCGTAAGGAAGAATAGGTCGCAAAAATAATCTATTTTCCTAGATATTTGCCTATTTTAATATATCTGCCGTAAGGCACAAAGGTATTAAGTCTTCGGTGCCAGTCACCACTTGACCAATGACAATTGTAGATGCTGCAGACGGGTACATAAAAATGATAGATCGAATTGTATGCTTGCGTGTTTCGTTTTAAAAAAAATTGCTGATGCCCATCCATATTCATCAGGCTGCCATATTTTGGGTTACATTAGACAGGGCTTATTTACACGCTCGTATGTATATTAGTACGCATGTAACTTAGCCAAGCACATTTTGGCTGCCTATAAATATGCGCATTTCAGTAGGACTATTTTGCCAAATCCTGTAGAGCCCCATAGCGTCCCTCAAATTTTGAGTTCACAGTATTCATATATAATATGTTCGTTCTGGGATAGGTTCAGTTCTTATACTCTGAAGTAAGTAATTCATAAAAATATCAATCTATACCCAAATATGTTATTTAAAGCGTATTTTAGAGAATTTTGGCTTGTTATATAATTATGTACTCTTTTTGATATAAGACGACATATGGTAAAGCATCAACTCTATAAATGGAAACTAGACGCTTAAAGAATTTTTATCGCGGCTAAAGGCCAACTCGAACACACAAAGCAAACAAATTTACACAAGTGGGTGCTCCAATAGAGAGTGCCTAACTAAGAAATACCCAGTATCATCATCAATACATCTGCAGGCTGCCGTTACAGATAAATAAATGCATTTATTTTCATAATTATTAGGTGGATTGGGCATGTATTGAAAACTTTAAGGCTATTTATTTCTCAAAAATTGAAAGAAAAAGCTAGCCAAAAAGCTTGATCGATTTCCGTGAATGGGAAACTTTTACAGAAATTTTAATAAAACTTGACCTGCGTAATCTAATTCTAATTATCTCTGAAACGGACAGGGAGCAGGCTAGATCGATTTAACTTGTCGTGATCAAGAATCTTATCAAAGATGGTGTGCCTGTAACATACTTTTATGCAATGGGAAGACCCTTTTTACACATTTTCAATAGTCACAGGGTATGTTGGTACAGCCTTCCAAATATAGGAAAACTAGTTACGGCACGTCTAGAGTGCCATATGCTCGAATTTCAATTCTTCAGTGGAAAGTTTCCTAACTAAATCAAACTACTTTTTATAGTGTTCCGTGGGTGTTATATATTTATGTATATGAAGAAAACACGTTTTCAATTTATCTTTACTTATTAAATGATAAAATTGAACAGCTACAATCGACCCTGGTAAACGTTTTGTGAATAAGTATTACAAGCGCTTTCAAGTAAATAAACTTATTAATGTAAATAAGGTACGGATTGATTGAACTTTATTTTTGAATTCATAATGTTAAAAACATTTATATTAGTTCATCTATCTTTAATAGAAGTGAACAGGTTTTTACGCTTTTTGGAGTATTAATCGCGGTTTTCTAACTTTCAGTGATCCGCCTACAGTGACTACTGAAATAGTAGCAACATGCCAGGATATCACCTGTCTAGACTCTAGTGAGGCATTTTCGGATGATAGTCACCTGACGCGTGACTCGGTAACGCGTGAATCGCAAAACGACGAACTCTCATCATCGACGCACGACAAAATCGATCTTAGTACCTTACCACTTCCCGCTCTACCGACCAAACGAAGACGCACACGTTTACGCGCCAGTCCCTCAAAGAATCATCACCAACAGCAACCGCGCTTGGAAAACAGCCAATATGAAGATGCGGCAGAAAGGCATCGAAATAAAAAACCACAAAGGTGCTCAGTCAAGGAAACGATAAACACTGAACAACTGAGCGTGCCAAATGATAACGCAACACCGCAACAGAATCAGCAGCAGCAACACCTCTCCGCATTTCAGAAATACGTTGCCAAGCGACGTGAAAGTCTTGAAGCATCGTCGCGTAATTTTAACGAGAAACTGGAGGCGCGTAGAATGCTCTGCCACATGGGTGGTAATGGCGGCACAAGTAGTTCGCCTGCTACAGCAGCAACAGATGCTGGAGTGCCTACATATATATTTGGTGAGAACTTCTATGGTATATCTGGTGCTACGCAAAAGCCTTATTCACCAGCCGGCAATAAAGAGGAAATCTTTCTTAACAAGTCTGGCTGGGTGCAAGTGAGCAAAAAGCTGAATACGAACAATGATAACAAAAGCCGACGCGTGAATAAAAGTCATCATAATGGAGAAGCTACTGAAATGGATAAGGCTCATGGGCGGAAAGCTATACGCGTAATAAATATTGATCACGCACACCGTCAAGAGCAAAACCGGCAAACATTTGCACAAAATTCGGCAAGCCGGTGTGATCGGGAATCCAAATTCGTGGGTTCCAAGGTTGAGGAGTTAATTCAGCGCAATGAAGCACGAATAGGTGGGATATTCTCAAGAGATTCAGCTCTGCGTCCGGGCTATCGAATTGTGGATCCCCAATTGGCAAGCATACTCAATGAGCGTCCCGGCTTTCTGCCCGTTTCCGATCTGGACTCACCGCCACCCATAACGCCTATTCTTTCGCCACCGCCCGCTTTTCAGGATAACAGCAGCAACAGCAATCGCACAAATCGACATCAGGACCGTCGCAAGATTAACCTCCAGTCATATATACCTACTCAGCAATTACGGGTTCTTCAGACCCCGATTCAAATGCAACAGCAGCTGGGACATGGCACCGGCACCGGCACTTGCAGTGGCAAGGGCATGGTCTTTTCGCGCAGCTTCGAGTATGACATGCGTCGACCCACGCCCACAAACCGATACGTGGAGACATTTTCGCGCAGCTTTGATGACAACCTGTCGGAACGACCCGTAGTCATGCCATCGTTGGCAGTGCAGCGCGAACGCTCCCTCAACTTTAGTACATTAACTGGTAATTCGCCAAATTACTTAACGAAGCGAGAAGCTGGCGGTCCTGGACGATCGCTGCGCAGCCGGGAAAACTCTCCAAAGTACCTTCAGCCGCAAAACACCGCCTACCTTAATGCGTCTGTGAAGGAAGCACCACCGACCTACAGCGTAGCTAGCAACAATATGGCAAAGTATTCGCCGCGCTCCCGTCATGACCGCGCCTTTGAGCGCTCCAAGAGCCAAAATTTAATGGGACGTTCACGGAAGTCACAATTCAGCTGCATAAGTAACAGTGGTTCAGGAGGCCCACCGCCTATCGCCCCAGGAATGTCGCGTTTTCGCAGCCTCGATATGACTAGCAATAATCGTCTTAACTCTTGCGATAGCGGTGCCCGATCCGGTAAGTTAAAATGAGTTGCCTCGCACCTTTAAGCTTCAGTCAAGCCTCATGTTAGCTTTATCTAGCTCCTATAAGGAAAATTTATGAACAATATCATAAAATCAGTTTAAAAATTAATAAAAACTTTTAGTAAGCATCTAGAAAATAATGATTTCACAGATCTTTCCAACGACGAGCTCGATAACGAAGAGGGTAGCTCTACGGAATTCCTTCCAATTAACTATCAGCTCCCTAATGTGGCCACGGGAAGCGCTAGCGTCTCACCATTTAAGGCTCAGCGTCAGCGATCTCTAACACCTGACCGAAACGACTCGCACAGCTCTTCAAGCAGTTTGCGAAAACAGCGTTCTCTCACGCCGGACTCCCGCTCTCTGACTCCAGAAGAAAGACGAAAAAGGGGCTCTCAGATATCCCTGGTTGGCTCCCGGCAGAACTCTAGCTCCCGCAGCAATACGTTAGAGCGACGACAGCGCCATGACGATAAGACTCCAATCATTTCACGCAGCTCTTCTAGTTCCAGCTACAGCGGCGGCGAACCGCATGATCTATTGAATGGCAGTCCCAACACTGCTAGTGCTGTTGTTGGTGCATCTTGTGCGACCAATTATCGCCGTTCGATGGGACGCGCAGGAACCAAACAGATAGGGCAGGAACATCTGATTAGACGCTCCAGGTAAGAGCAGGCGTTTCTCATATATGAAAACGGTTTAAAGTATTGTGCATCACAGTAGATCCCTTCAACTTAGCGAGCGGTCGCCAAATCGCACACAAAAATCGATAGTATGTGTGAGTGGTGTATCCCCACTGCAAAAGCAGCAGGCAACGGCTCATTATCAGCAAGCAAGTACCGGCGCCTTTCCAAACTCCCTACGTGCCACAGTATCCGTCAACAAATTATTGCCCAGTTCGAAGGGAACGACGGGCAACTCAGCTCGACAGCGTCAGGCCGACGTGGATAAGGCACGTTCCTTTGATTTTGACTTCAACAATTACAATCGAAGTCGTGCCACTAACAGTGCCACACGTTCCGCCCATACCAGTGGCGGTGGTGGTGGTGACAGCGGCAATCAGAATTTACGCTCGGATTGTGACAAAAGCCGGTCTTTTGATGAGGACTACCGCGAAGCACTGCATAACAACAACGCCAATAGTAGCTCTGGCATTCACTTTTTTCAACCAGGCAATGAAACGAATGCTGTTGTAGCATCGTCCACCCGGTTGCGCCAGTCTAACTCTCCAGTCGGTGGAGCGGCCCATGATCGCACGCCGACACGTTCACCACAATCTTCAGGCTCATCGTCTAACAACATCCACCTAACATCGCAATGCACTAGCAGCCCCCCCGGAAATAGCTATGGTATGCGCCTGTGTGACCATGAACTATCCTACGATATGCTGAGAAAGTCACCGATCATGAATTTCCGACGTGGGGACAGCGAGTACGAGATCCCCATGCAGCTGCGTAACCGCGAAACTATCAACTCCGGAGGCAACAGTGAACTTAACTTTATGAGCAACGAAACGCATATTTACGAGCACCCGACGACTGTGCTTAAGCCGCAGCGTTCAGGCTCACGTGAAGAGCATTTGTACAAGGCGACAGGTGCGCCGCCGCGCAGCAGCAGGTACTAAAGCGACTGATTTGAAGTTTACTCAATTTCCCGATAACAATATTGGCCAAATCTTTCTCTGTAACCTATATTTAAAGCGCATCACGGTTTTAACTAAAAGTCGCCTCAATCAAAAATAATTTATAAAGTTGTTAAGCTTAAGCGACTAACTTGACCAAAACATATTTCCAGGGTATGCTTTAATATGTTGTAAAAAGACTGCTTATGTACACTAATCCAGTGGCAAATAACTAATTGTACTCCCTTTTGCTGATACTTTGACTAACACGAATGGTTAATGGATAAAGTAATGCAAATTACAAGTAATTTAAGCATAACATATGCCAAATCTTAAAACAAAATGAAAATACCAAACAAATATTTAATTTATAATTAAATATAAATGCCAACTAATTCATGCTAAAAATATGGAGCAGAATTACTTATAAGAAACTGTACAATTCGGATCGTATATTGGTTTTGCACTAAGACACCTTTAAGTTTCTCGTTATACATATTTTGCAGTCCTGAACCGCAAACCGCGAGAACAGCTACCAACAAAAAATGCAGAAAAAGTCTAACATCTTGCGATTATTGGCCACGTTGTGGTGCATGCAGTAGCACAAGCTCTAGTAACTTACAGGATTTTGCATCTTTGGGTCAGGGCGCAATCAGAAGACAAGATTCTTTGCCCGTTGTTACTCAAGATGTGCAACAGTCACATATCTCAAAGGTGGCCTTAAAGGGGAATCTCATTAAACTCGACACATGTGAATCAGCAACAATAATATCTCCTAGCCAGGCCGGTATACCGCAGTGGATGTTCCTGTGCAGCGGGGGCATTCATAGAAAACCTGAAATCAATCCTCATGACTTAAAAACCACCAGTAGAGATCGTCGACAGCCAACTGCCGTTATTCGACCTCGTGTCGTTCCCTTAACCGCCAGTTCACTTGTACTTGTAGGAAATTGCGATCTTGTTACCGGAACACAAACTGCTGAAGTCAAAGAATATACCCAACATGTGCCTACGGAATCTCTACAAAGGTAAGGGCACACGAAACTATTTATATTAATGGTTTAGTCTCTTTAAAATATAAAATATAAAACTTTTTGTACTGGCTGACCTACTGATTGGCGATAAACGCACAGCCTAAACCGTAGAAGCCAGGAAGCTGAAATGTTTACTCTAGTTACCTTATATGAAATTTCACCAGGAATCATAAAGTTTTTTGTTTACCATCCGATGGCTCTCAAACTCATATTTAACCTTTTTGGAAACATTTGTGACTTCACTTATATTTTGTGCGTAGAAGACAGCCCTTTCTGATTTTTTTAGCGACCAAATCACTTTAACTTATATGCGCCAAATCATTTCTTTGGGCCTGACAACGCCCAGTAATACCAGCTTGAATATGAAATAATCTAAATGAATTTCTTACTTTGATTTTTAGCACCATGAAAAATATCTTAGAAAATACAGACCACAGTGAGATGTCAAATCAAGAACAGCAATTGATGACGAACCGTAATAAACGGAAACGGCCACGATGCAATTCACTTCCGGTCAGACTTTCAGCCTCACCGAAGCACTGGTTAGTGGAAACTGTTGTAAGGTATGTGTTATATATATTAATTGATATGTAATGTATGAGTTTAAAGCAATTGCAATTAGAATTTACGATATTTGCTTAAAAAATAGGATTTCGAGATCGATTTTTATCGATTGCTTTGATACGTGGCAAGATATCGATTAGCGGAAACAAATAGCAGGACCTACGTACTGCTACCATGTACTGCTTGCAAAAGAAAAACGGACCTATTATAAAGATGTCTCCCCTCTATGAGTTAAATATTTCATGACAAGATTATATTACCTCGATAAGGGTATAACAAATCATGTACAAACTTGTAGTATGTTTTGGTTGATTTTTACAGAATCGACAATGATTGGAGTACTTTATTAAGATGTATGAAAAATCACAAATGATAACTGTCAATCAGTAAAATACCCTGTAAAAGCATATGGCCATTTAAAATCTAAAAAAAATATTTAAGCACACAAGATGGAACGCTTTTACTTCACACAAACCCAGCGCGTGTACTGTTTAGCCAAGTTCACTGAACCAATGCTCAGTTGCAGTTTAAAGTTAAAAAAAAAAACGTATACTCGCACATTCATACCTTAGGCTATTCACTATTTTTAATCTTTATGGATCTCACTGTTATGACCTTTTTGTTCATACATCTGTTGTAAAATGAATATGTGGGCATGCATATGAAGCAGAAACTGTATTCTGTATTTCTGACAAGTAATTACTTTATCATGCATGTAATTGCCATTTGGATAATCGGTAGAAAATGTAATCAGGCTAACATTTAACCAATTTTTAGCTTATCGCTAAACAATCCTCTTACTTAACCAAATGCTTAATTGTCTGGAAAATGGTTTATTGAATTTGAAATTTAGAACCCACTTTCTGGTTTTTAAACCTTTTAACATATCGCAAAATACAAACAGTGCTAAAAGTGCTTTTGAATTTTCTGTTAAAATACTGTTATAAATACATTAAGTGCATAACTATTTTGAGTTTAGCAGTCCCAATTTGAGTATGTTTGTTGATTGCTGTTGTTCAAAATGTATCGCATTTCGATAACTCATGGTTTACGTTTGTTGTTGAACTGTAGTCGAAATAGGCATCGCGTCGGATGAACGTCAACATAAAAGAACAAATTAATGTGAATACGGCAAATAATATAGTGCTTTTGACTTAATATGGATAAGTACGTTTTATTACAATAAACAATACAGAAAATTTGCTGGATGAAATCTGTATAAATTAAACGTATTTAAGTGAAGTGCAGTCTCACCGTTCATCCAGATAAATTTCAGTGCTCTATATATATATTGTCTGCTTCATATATTTGTCTGCCCTTTGTTACTTGCACTTTTGGGGTTTTTATATGTGGGTAACAGACAAACCGTGGATCTCAATTAAATAAAATGTACAAATCTTTTATTAAAAATCAATATCAACACAAGACATTTCTCTGCTGCTGTAACAACAATTCAAATGTCTACAACAATAAATGTGCCACAGAAGGCATCACCCAGAGAATTCCTTGTGTGCATTTTGGGCGTGGATGACAAGAAAAAAACGATAGCAGAAGCTAATGCATCTGTCTTAAGCGGTAGCTGTTGTGCAGATGAGTCTGTTAGTGTGTCTATCAAAATGTGCTGGCAACAGTCCAATTAAACCCTAAGAATGCAGAACAATCATCAACTGGTGCCCGTTCTCAGTAAATGCGATCTTATCGATACTGATTTCACAGCAGCAAAGTGTCCAAATAATAATGCATATACGCAGATGTAAGTTAGAATATAAAGCTTAAAGTTCGATATAAATGGTTATTTTTCGAAAATGTATGAAATAAGCATTAGAAGGATACTTAGAAATTACACAAATATAAATATATTCCCTCTTAAATTAAGTCCTACTTATCTAGCCATGTCTTCTCGCCTGACCATTGTTTGTATTGCATATCGTTCTCGGAGACTAAGAACTAGATGTACAAAGTTTTTACGCTTGTAGAGAGTAATTTAACCATGAAATGTGTTTAAAAATGAAATGCTATAAAATGTGTAATGTGTAGAAGGAAACTTAAAGGATCCTCAAAAGTATATATGTATGTAACTTTATTCTTGATCAGTATCAATAACCAAGTCGATATATCCATGCATTTATGCAAACTAGTCCCTCAGAAATCTTATTAATATCAGAGCAGTATATAATCAAGCTTCAATGGAAACGAACAATCAAAATTTAGATTCTTGTTTTAAGAAATATTTATTTATTAGTTAGAAGCGAACGTTCCTAAGGCAGGTATATGGTATAGTGAACTGATCCGTCTGGTTTTGACACACATATATATCCGGTCGGGTTTGACATACATATATACTGCGTGCAATAGGACAAATGCTGATTCAAAATACATATACTTCCCATCCTTGCCACTGGCAAATTTAAAACCACCCGTAATATATTGAATAGTCTAAAGTTAAATTTTATAGGGTGTCTTTGCGAATGAGTAAATGAATTTTGATAAAAATTCATTATATTAATATTCTGACGTTACTGCAAAAAAAAAAAAATTCCTCAAAACCTTTATTAGTTGCTATAAAATTCCCAGGGAGCAACAGTAGAATACATTATCACCATCTACGAAATGTTTTTTATTTGCAAACCACACCCGGCTCAAACTAGAAGCACTGAATCGTCCCATGCTCATAATTTACCTCATTTCTTTGCGGGACACCTGCTTTTTGGTATATCTGTGGATCTTGTTAGTTGCACGCCCAAAAAAAAAACATATTTTAGAAAATTCACGCAAAAGCTAAATCGTAGACTCTGTACATATATTGTACACATAAATATTGTGAAATTATTCAGTTGTTAATTTGATTTATTTAGCTTATGAACAAATATTACGATTCCGCGTAGAAAGATATCTAAAAAGAAACACCTTCGAAAATTCAAATACAGAATGTACCTTTCGCTTTATATGTTCGTCAGTCTACGTATGTAAGTTGACTGTTTTGACAGCTCGTGCAATACACAATATGATATTGTGCGTTAGTTATGAAAAGCTATTGCGCTATCAGCAAATAATTGCTTTTGCTAGGTGTGTGATAAGACTGGCTTCGCTTTTATTCTCCAGCTGCACCTATAGACAGTTACATCGCAACAGTCTCTGAAACCATCGAAAATAGATAAAAAAGGAATAAAGGCTTATACAAATATATGTAGCAGGCCATAAAATATATATTCTTGGCCAGCATTAATATTCGAGTCAATCTATCCGTGTCTGTCCGTTTGTATGAACGTATCAATCTCAGAACTAAAGAGGTAGGCACTTAAAATATTGAACCTAAGGCCTCTTAGTGAGAGCGTAGTAATTTTTTTTCTAATCATCAATAATATGATCCGTTGCAAAGAAAATTATAAAATTTCGACGGCGTACATACGACCATATGGACAGACAGTCGGACATAGCTGGATTTATTCGGCCCTTAATTCTGACCTGCAATATTAGACATTAAAACCATTATAAAATCTCCAAACAAGAAGTTATTAATGAAAACGTTTGGTTACAACATTGCCAGCGTAAAATGAAAGAATTTCTGCATGGATATGCACACATACGTACATACAATTGCAATTACGATTGTATTTTGTGCTGTACTGTGTGTGTGTACTGTTATTTTACAGTTTTTTTTAAACTTATTCATAATAATACTAGTATATTCTTTTACACAATAATTATGTAAGTGTTAGTGAAAGAAGATTCAGGGTATCCCCTAGTCAGACACTCCCGACTAGAGCGCTCCCACTGGTATGTTTTGTGTATGTTTCGAGTAAATCATATTTATAAAAACGGCAAGTTCAACGCGCTCATTAGTTTTTCATAATTTTCTTGCTTATATATATTTTCCGGAAATAAATTTATATGAAACTGAAGAAAGAAAGAAAGGGGAGACAATAAACACCTGATATTATCCAAGCAATTTCATTGTCTTTTGATGTTTTCATGTGTTCAAAGTGCGTTGCGTGCCCTGGCCCTCTACGTGGTTTTCTGTTTGAGGGATTGCATGCTCAAATTTTTAACTAGTGCATTGCTTTTTCGAAATATTCACCATTATCATTGTGCCATTATGTATTATGTTTGAGTTCTCAAACGCAACAGATTCTTGCTATGGCTATGATAAATTATCACCTCGGCTCTGCCGACTCGAAAACAACCAAATGCGTTATACTGCGCTTATATAATTTTTTTATCATTCGATCGGCTTTAATCTTAATACTCTTTAGAAATTCCACTTCCTGGATTAATAGGTGTCAGCGATTGAACAGGAGTTATTCAACATTCAATATCCATTGCTGTAGCGAGGACGGAAGAAGCCGCAGCGTATGCTGCACAGTTGGCTGTAGATTTGTTTTAGCGGTTTGCATAAATGCAGCTTTAAATATTTAAATTATTATTATATTTTATTTAAGCAGTTCAATTCATATTTGTCTATATTTTATAACCATTACTATTCCATTTTCAGAGTTTAAACATAGAATAGTAATATATATCATTTGCGTATCTCAAAAGGTTCGAGTGTATGTCTTAAAAATAGGTTTTCTTGTCTTAAAAACTGGTTTTGAAGCATGCCAGCACCGGCAGATGTTTTGTTACCTAACAAAAACTGCGAACTGTTTCCCTTTGGGATCCTTTTTGAGTTTTTCCTGGCTGCAGTTGGTTGAAATTTTGAGTGAGTTCTGCAGCTGCGTTTCCCTAGGTAGAGCCTAAAACAACCTCGCAACAGCTGTTTCCGTAAGGCTTTTTACTCAAACATAACTGGCAAACAAGTGTCCGGATTAAAAGCATGAAAACAATTAGTTATATACTTTTAAGCAGTTATGTTTGAACGGAAATTAAAGCCAACATTTTTAATCATAAAACAAAGCATGTTGCATGGTAAACTTCAGTTTATCCTTCAAAAACTTTAGTTTAAAGACTCTGAAAACACTCAATTCACAACCGTATGTATTGCAGGTCAGTATGTACAAGAGGTTTCTATTTTAAAGGCTTAGTGGCTTGTATACTCTATTGATCAACAATTTAATCTCAAAATTCTTTAAAAAAATACTCACTCAAATCACACCCTCTGCTGAGTCCCGCATTCAAAGTGCGGGCAAGAGCTCAATTGAAAATTATACAAGCATGAGGGTTGTTTTTGGGCTTGTTACTGTGTCGGCTGGAATTCTTTGTTGATCAGTCTGCCTATGTGCAACATCGTAAGCACTATTCGCATTTCGGTGCGGAGTATATCAACAGAATATGTTTAATACAAATTAGCGTTTGAAAACTCGAAACTTTAAAGGCACATAAACTCGCAACCATCAAATTTTTATTTTCGAAACTAACAGTCTTAAAGTAAATATGAAAACCCAAAGAAACTCGTACAAAACGGTCATAAAAACGGAACATATAGAACCGAAAATATTTTCCTTGCAAACTGCATTTACCAGTGGGTTTATAAGTGGAAAGTGCAGACGTTTTAGTACGCGTATTTCAAATAGGTAAACAAACAATCGGGAATTATTAAAATGTTATAACAGAAATGAAACTGAAACAAACCAGCAAAAAGTATTACTTATTTTTACATTACAATTATATAGTAAAGGAATATTTAAAAAGCTGTGATGGATATTGACCATATACATAATAGTCATCCTGTATCCTTACAGGAGAAATGACAACTATATTTTTATACGCATTTTCAGATTTAATTCGTTGTAAATTTACAAATTTCTGATGTTTCATACGCCCCATTCAAAATTAAAAGTACAGCCTGCTCCCTGATATATACGTGAGTATATTCGGATGCTATAATTACAGTGCGACCGAGAGAAAAATCCCAGCTGCCGTGAAAATTTTAGCGACATGTATGCTTGTTGTATTTTTATATACATCCGCTACATACGATACAACAAGGCGTTCAAATTAATCTTACGACATCTGTGTCGACAAACAATATATGTCCTAGTCGGTTACTTAGACTAACAGATTCTTATTTGTATGCTTATACTAATACTGCTAGCATTAAGTTTTCCAGCAAATTTGTAGTTCCGAAAATAAAGCAAAGAAACTCGAAGTAAAGGAAAGCCCGCAAAGCAAGGTAAACTTGTGTTATTATCTGTTCCATGTGCTGGCACGTCCTTTACATTTGCAACGCTTATAAATATTGTTGTTAAGCATTGGCATGGTTTTTTCCAAATGCTCTTTGCATTGAAACTGCAATACTTACTGCTAAGCTGGCCGCTTCAAACACACTCATTTTATCCAAAACGCAAACTACCTGTGTTGACAACACCTTCCTATGTCGCATTTTCTAACACAAACTCTATTTGTTAGACTTGGTATCCGAGCAATTTAACAGCAGTGTTATAACGGGCGTTTGTTCTATTGTTTTCACTTTAGAGGTCCTGAAATTTGGTGAAGATTTATAGAATTTACAAATCTGTATAGCAAATTTCACTAATGAATTATTATTTGTACAGATTGCCAAAAAGTGGAAAGGATAATGTCAGCATAATTGGTATTCGCTGTAGCGGAAACGGCGAGTGTTTGGTAAGTATTTAGCATATATTGTCTCGTTAAATATAACTAAATCCCTTTTTAATATTTTCGCCTATTCACCTTTTTTTCAAAGGAAACTAGCTTACACGGCCCGTAGACATAGTAAAACTGAAAGGCTTTGAGTGGAAAAAAATTACTCCAAGTTATTAATTTCGTATTTATTATTCAAATATAAAAGGAACATAAATTCCATTTCACAATATTATTGTCAGCAACCATATAAAAATCAGCATTTGTTGTTTGACCTTATCGCTTATATATACCTTCTTCAGGTCTTTTTATTAACAAATGTATTGTATAGTCTCGGTTTAATTAGGTAGCCATAGTAAACGAGTGTCGCACATTGAGTGGCAATGAAGCCGTTTAAGACTAGCTATGATATTAATCTAATGGTGCTACTATGCGGCTGCTGTATGATAATCCACTCTGACAATAACAGTTATAGCTTTTTGACCTTTCAGTCAACTAAAAAATCGTTGACTAATATGTGAAAAGAAAGTATTTTGTATGAAGTATAAGTATATAAGTATTATTATCTCTTTATATAAAACTGTTTGTCCTGACTGACTGACTGATTGGTGATCAACACCCAGTCCATACTGTAAGAGCTGTAGTTACCTTATGTGATGAAGGTGCACGTTAAGACGGGGTTTCGGGAAATTCCACACGCAAGTATGGAAAAATCGCGAAAAACGTTTGTATGAAACTTTAAGCGGCCTCAAACTCATTTTCAAAAATCGTTGTTCAAATTCATTTGAGGGGTGTTTCAAACTTTTCCAAAAGTGTATTCCTCTTTGGTGGAAATAGGGGTCAAAGATTTGGTGGATGACGTTTTGCCCTCAAATTCATTTTCAAGAATTTATATGGAAAATCATTTGAGTTTTTCACAAAATCTAAAATCCTTCGGTAGAAATGCGATTTAAAGATTTTATATGCGAAGTTATAAGTGGTTTCCGATTTTTTTCAAACTTTTTCGCAAAGTTCTATATAAGAATATAATGAATACGTGTTTCTAATTCAAAAGCAAGCGCATAAAAACACACATATGTTTGTAACTTCAACGGGTAACTGAATGCATTTCCTGGAACCGTTGACTAGATCACTTTTCTTGTTAATAATTCTTTTACTTATCATTTGAATAAGACGAGATCATTGCGCTCTTAATCTTCAGATTTGGTATCAGGAAAATCATCGTATGTTTTTTATGTAATAGTGCATTTTTAAATTAATGCAAGCTTGGGACCTTTGACAAAGTCTGCCGACTGGGCTAGAACCGAACAGGTTCGAGCCCGCAATTCTGTTTTTCATATTATGAAAAAGTTTCACAAATATTTATTGAGTTATAACCCAAGTTAGGCCATTTATTTTTTTACCAAAAAGGATTTGGTTTAAAAAAGTTGTTTCTATATTTAAAAATAAATTGTTTGTTCTTAATATATATGCACATGCAAATTAACAAATCATATATATATATATATATATATATATATATATATGTATATGTATGTATATATATATACATGTATGTATATTATCAAGATTACCCATTCTTGCAAAACCCCATATAAGACTTTAATAATTATGTTTTGCAATATTATGCCTAATATACCTCTACCCAACAACATGTTTAAGAGACTTTGGAAGTTCTGCAGTGGTGAATTGGCGGAGAACGGTTGTATGAAAGGTTTAGTTTATCCGATCAGCTTCAAAATGATTTTCAAAGATCTTTGTAAAACTTCATTTGAGACGTGTACTACACAGCGACTAGAATTGAGAAAAATATAATTTGTTTGCATTTATGCTCCTGCATACATATACTTACACATACATTTAAATTATTTTTAGACATTATTGAGAGAGCTCTGAGAGGAAGTTTCCCGTATATTAGGAGTTCTACCATTATTGAAACTAATATTGTCTCAGAGGTAAAAATTAATCAAGCAAAACAAATCTAGCGATAAAGCAGTAGTAAGATAAACAAATGATGCCATGACCCAAAGGTAATCTAGCTTTCCTACCTGGAGTCGAGAGATTGTTATGTGAATTGACAATAATTGCATGTAGCTGTTGGCTCGTGGTCTACCTAAAGTTGCGGATACTCGAACCCTTAACTCTGAATGCCTCGTGCAGACAATAACCAATAATGCAACACAATAAGCAACATTCACAGCCAGCCCCATCTCCTTGTCCATTGCTTATCAAAGCGACAACCTCACAATCTTCACACACTATCCGCAACAAAAAGGGCACTAACGCAAACACGCATAAACACTTGCCGTTGAAATCAACAACGGCCGCCGCCGTACCGTCGCATTTGCAATTCTCGCAGTCAGTTTATATTTATCACGTACATCGTTGACACCTGCGAGCGGCAGCGACTTTTGCGAGTGTGGTCTAATCACATTCTGATAAAGAGTGTCGTAAGCGTCATGAAGAAGCTTATAATACCTACACTTATGGATACCTATGGTTTAATTAAGTTTTGGGATTTTGATGACGGTATGCCGGATAGAACCACGCTGTCCGGCAGCAGAAAGACGAGAAGTAAATTTTGTCTTCCGCAAAGCGATTTAATGCACAGTGAACGACTCTACAAGAGGCGGGCCCGACTGCTAAAGGTCTCTGACTAAAATTTAATCAATTAAGCTGACGTCTAGCTTATTCAATTTTTGTATTTTTTACTTAATTTTCGACAAATATTGAAGTAATTCTGATGTGTGTAATTTTGTGATTATGAAATGGGAATTCCAAATTATGCACTGGAAATTTTTCCAAAAACCAACCTAGTTTTGTTGGGGAATAAGTACATTTATTTATCAATTTGCTTGTGGAATGACCAAAAATATTCGACGAAAAGAAGACTGCGATAACAAATTAATTCTTAACCACCCGCTTCAAATAAAAAAAAAACACAAACAATAAACAATAACTATTTGAGCTTAAGTGTGTCTGTTCTGCTAATTTTTGCTTTCTTTTAACCATGAATTTTACGGTGGCCATTTTTACGTAACTTATTATACATACTGATAATAATTATTGTATTTCCTTTGTAACATACATCACTCGATCGATTAAAATTCTTGGATTAATCACATACCACACCTTTGCACTTTATAATAGTCAGTTAGTTAAAAATTGTTATCATATCGTGAACCCATCGAAAATTAATTAAAAAGGTTACAATGGTTTTGTGTTAACGCATGCATTGGTATGTAGACTCTCGCACAGTATGCACCTGTTGCCACAAAATTGAAAAAATGTATTTTCAAATGTACATTTTTTGGCTTTGATATTTAAACATATTTGGATGCCAACCATTTTTTTTAAGATCAGACAAACAGTAAAGTCAATTACGAGAAAACTTCCCATATTGTCGGGATAAGGAAAGTAGCAGCACAGTCGTATTGCTAGAATACGTGTAGTGGCCGTTCGGCAAGGTGTTCAGGGAATCTCCAAGGCGGCCACTCACAGCTAAAGCAACGTAACCTGTTATTGTAATAAATAAAATTTGACATGATAATATACTTGTAATTTCATGTAAGAGAGAACCGACTTAGGCCAATTGCAGGCATTATTTAAACAATAACAATTAGTAGCCGGAAATACATTTATCTATAATCAGTTTTATCCTCTAATATATTTCTCTTTTCAGTCACAACAGATGCGTGCCATTTCGAGTCCAGCACTTACAGGCTCGGTAAAATCGCCAAAGTACCTTCAGGATGAATTTGCGGAAGCTCGTGAGCTAACAAAGGATGCATCTGTTACAACTGAAACCAGTTTTGACTGCGGTATAGTTGAAGGGAGACACACTAGTCTGGGCGTCTTACAGAAATTTAAACGCACATTGCATTACTTAAATAATAGAAATCAATTGCAAATTACGCCCTTGCACACAGGGGCAGTCGTCAACGCGGACTCAAAGCCAATGCCTATAAATCCGATGGTTTCCATTACAGCACCTGCGCCAGCTGCAGACAATAATATTGACACAACAGACAACTATGGCGTAGATACAAGCTCCGCCAAATACCGCTTTGGACCGTTAATTTGGCGTTCATCAAAGGAACGTAGAAAGACAAAATTTAATCGCCGTGACAAGTGCAATTCTGGTGACTCCGGTATTCAAATCGAACTAGAGCTGGATGAACAGTATATGCGCACACTGTCGTGCGGGCAGCCACGAGCAGTCAGTGCCCTGAGCAACCCGTCGAGTGCCATGGACCCAAAGGCACGTACCATACGCCGTTGTCATTCTGCCAAAGCAACCACCATAATGGAACAAGCGGCTTTAAAACCCCCGGTGAAAAATCAGCTTAATATAGGCAACATTTGCAATATAGAACGCGAAGCACCCGAGTCTTTACCTACGCGGTCCCTTAGTCAACCCAGTGGTTTAGAAATATATGGGAAATGCAGAACCGATATAGAGGACAGCGATAGTGACAGCATCGCGTCACATGACGAAGGTACGATTGCTTATAAAAACAGTATGTCCTGACTAATTGCCTGACAGACTGATTGGTTTTCAACACACAGCGCTAACCATAAGCAAGTACATATTTTAAAGGTTTATTGTGGACTATACGATTGGCTTCTAATGCATTATTTGCGATCTAACATTAATTGAAGATTTGTTTTACATTTTTCAATATCCATCCCTCTTGGATGAAATGTGCCACCACGGGACTATAATTTACAAATATCCATTTAAAAAAATATCTATTTTAAATATTACTTAAGAGTGCAATATACTACAGGCAGATGAACTCATTCAAAAGAAAATAGCTTTTTAATATTTGGGAACTTGTTTAAATTTCCTCATTTAGTCCACCGTAAATAAATTCAAATAAATTCGATTCAACTATATAGGTGTTATGATTAGGGCTATGCATGCAACACCAATCAGTTCATTTGTCTGACTTGGAGTGTACGCGATTTTCCATTAATTACCGTAGAGTTACAAGTTAAGTTACAAACGCATATCAATTTACCTTACAGCAACAAACAACTACTGTCCCATTTATGCGGAAGTGCTCTACAACTTTACCGCGGCTGGGCCGCAAGAGCTGGGTCTGGAGCGGGGTACTTTAATCGAGATATTGCGGAAGGAAGTAGGCCCCTGGTGGTTTGGACGCATTAAAAAGGAGGATGTTAGTCTTGTAGAAGAAATTCATGATCCTGAACTTGGCTGGTTTCCCAAAGAATTTGTGCGCATAATTCAAAGTTGTGAAATAAATGCTCTGCTAAATATGCAAAAAACAAAGAGAGGTAATGTATCTCTTCCTGCAGCAGTGACAGACATCCAAATTCCACTGCCCGTTAGTGAACTAAACACCAGCGATAACAGTGCCAATTCCATGACTCTGGATCAGAGTAACATCACAACCATAGTCATTGAATCACCCTCATCAACTGTCCTCACGTTAACACCGCGCATTAATGAGCAACAGGACAGTTACGATATAATTCAGCACGGTGCTGTGCGTGAGCTCCTCGAAACTGAAATTAACTACGTAAAACTTCTCGCTTCGATTTGCGATGGGTAAGTAAATAATGCAATAGTCAAAAGATACGCACAAAAAATAATTAATCTTTATAATTTTAGGTATTTGCCTGCCATGAGCAAACGCATCGATATATTTTCTCCCAACAGCATACGACTTATATTTTCCAATATAACAGCCATTTACAAGTTTCAGCGAAAGTTTTTGGAAGCGCTGCGCAACGGCGTTGAACAAAACCAAGTATCTAAAGTATTTCTAAAAATGGTGAGTCCTCGGGAGCTCCCGACTAGGGGATACCCTGAACCCTCTTCTTCCAACATCAAATATATATATATATATTTATACCCATTTTTATACATATATATATATATATATATATATATATATATATATGTATAAAAATGGGTATAAAAATGTTTACTGGCAAATAGTTTTTAGCAAGTTTTTAAAAGTTTAATTGTGTTCCTAAGCATATTCATTCAAAAGCATAAACGCATACAAAATATTTTGATTAGTGTCTAATAATACTTTATATATAAACTTTATTTTCATGTCTAGCATAAAGGATTCCTCTGCTACTCCACATACTGTAATGCTTATCCACGTGCACTTATCGAACTAGAATCTTACGAACGCATCAAAGACGCACGCACCATATTAGAGAAGTATGTTTTTATCATTTTTATACCCTGAACCCATTAAAAATGGGAATAAGGGTATATTGTATTTGTGCAAAATCCAAATGTATGAAACAGGCAGAAGGAAGCATCTCCGACCCCATAAAGTATATATATTCTTGATCAGCATCAATAGCCGAGTCGATTTAGCCATGTCCGTCTGTCTGTCGGTCCGTCCGTATGTATGAACGCAAGGATCTCAGAACCTATAAGAGCTAGAGACTTGAAATTTTAGTTGTAGGTGCTTCTAGGGCCCGCGCAGATCGAGTTTGTTCCGATAATCGATAACTTACTCCGTTTCCAAGCAATCGATAAAAATGGATATCGATATCCTGTTTTTTGGGCAATTTTATGAATAATAAGAGCTAGAGTCACCAAACTTGACATATAGCTTCTAAAATAGAATATATATATATATATATTTGATGTTGGAAGAAGAGGGTTCAGGGTATCCCCTAGTCGGGAGCTCCCGACTAGAACCTCTTACTTGTTAGTTCTTGTTTCTTAGACACTTCAACTCTTATTAATTTTTAACTATTTCTTTAAAGCTGCCGTGAATCCGAGAACTTAGCCGAACTACCATTATCTGCGCATCTACTGGCGCCAGTGCAACGCATTTGCCGTTATCCACTGCATCTTAACGAACTTATTAAGACTGCTTTTAGGAGTAACATGGCTGACGATGCAAATGAGGTTTTTGTCCAAACGGATATCTTAGACTATGAACAAATCAATCTGTCTCAGCATGATGTGCCTGATACGCACGACACCGTTAATTTGGCGCTGAAAAAGATGCGCGGTATAACAGAAGCTGTAAATGAGGGAAAACGCCACAGTGAGACCATTGCACGGCATCAATCAAGCTTTCAAAATTTTAAAGGACCACCGCTACACCTGCACAGTACACGGTTTTTCATTCAAGTAGATGCCACGCGCCAAAAGCAGAACCTCTGGAATAGCAGCTGCACACTGTTCCTTTTCGATAACCAACTGATTTACTGCAAACGAGATATTATCAAGCGCAGCCAGTTTATCTACAAGGGACGAATCTTTTTGGATCGTTGTCGCATTGTTAACGTGCGGGATGGAAAAATGTTTGGTCATACAATTAAAAACTCACTTCGAATCTACTGCGAATCGCGGGACAAGTGGTACGACTTTAGCTTCCGCTCGGCTAACCGTAAGCATCGCTTTCTTAATACGCTTGCCCTGGAGCGACAGTTTGGGGGCAAGGCACTATACGTGTCCGAGATGACTGGATTTGAGTACAACTATGAGGAACGGCCGGGCTACTATTCTGACCAATCGGAATACGAGTTGCCAGAATGCGAGCTTGCACAAGGCAACACATCGGCAAGTGGCGACAGTTCAGTACCCGAATCACCGTCCAAGTCACCGTACCGATCTTGCGATACATTGCCCAAAAAATCACAGTCGCGCGACGCTATAGCCAGTACTAGTAATGGCTCCGGACATATGTCAACTGGGTCGTTGGGCCGTCGCCGTCTTGGAAACTGGTTCCGGAAGCCAAAGAGTTCCAACTGTACGCCTAGTCAGTCACCTACGCACAAACCGAACTTCGATGCGGATTTAACGTTAACGGCCGCACGTGTTGCTGCAATTGAAATGGTTAGAGCCTCTGCAGCGCAACAAGAGGCAGACAGTTCGTTTGCTTAGTTACCCTATTATTAAATAATTACTTTTAATTTTAAAGAATGCAAATCGAAACACTCAATAATTGAAAAGCAAGTTTTTGCAATAATTATGATAGAAGAATGTTGATAAATATACTGACACAGAAGCGCATATTCTAACAATAAAATATTTTAGGTCAGTTTCTGTTTTTATTTGAATTTTTTTTATTGCCAGAAACCTAATTTTTTCTATCCTGAATTAATGTTTAGAATTAATACGTCAGTTATCTGAATAAAATTACAAACAAATAGTTTTTTTTTTAATAACATTCTGTTGTTATTAAACGAATCAAGTTTAAATTTTGTATCTGTGTAATATTGATACACTTGTTAAACATTTAATAAATATTCAGTCCAGCTTCATATACATGTGCGGAAAATTAGCAACACAGCTACAAAAATCCCTCTCCATACTGAACAAAATAATAACCGTATGTATATTATCAAAATAAAAATTATATGTTGAATAGTCACAGGTTATATAACATTTTTCAACAAAGAGTTAAAAAGTATTCATATTATTGAACAAATGAATTGTTACTAACAATTTTTAATCAAAAAAAAAAAGAAAAAAGAAAACTGTTAAAATGAAAATTGTGCAAACCAAAAAATATTTCAAAACCTATGAGCGAATTTAATTTTCTTAAGAAAAACGTATGTACCAAAATAAGTTCAAATATAAGAAAATGCTGAGTTCAACGTTTTAAAAGCAATTAACTATTTAATAGATTTTGTAAAAACAAACAAAAACAAAAAAATATAATTCCTTACAATGTTAATTCTGGACCATCCCATCAAGTGTATTTGGCCAACAGATATTTAAGCGATGTTTTTTTAATCCATGCTCGAATTAACTTAAAAAAATCGGTGCTTTCATATGAAAACATCGGGGATGGAATTAAAAGTAAAATAAAGTAATAATTTAACTTGAAACACTATAATTTAAGTTAAATTTTGATTTCCATTTGTTTTATACCAGTCGATAGTACTAATCCTTGCGCAGTTGGTGCAAGCTCAAAGGGAGTAAAGCGTGCTTGGAGCTCATCAGCCTGGTCTTCGGCAGATTGGCACCAATGGTCATTTTGATTTCGGACAGTGTGCTGAGCATGTGGTGGCTGGGGCTTCAATATGAGTGTTGAAGTTTAAGTGAGTTTCGTTTATTAGCATTATGTCCGTGTTATGGTAATTCATAAACTGCCTAAGTTCCCCTAAGTTCAGTCATATTGTAATTTTACTGAGAGCTGCGTAATGAATGAGAAAGAAAGTGTGATGTAGATACATTTGCTGGTGTGCTTGGCATGATTTTGCCAAGAGCGGATGAGGAAGGGAGGAGTTTGTTTAGTAAGTTATGCTTCTGTTATACCACTTGTGCCGTGACTGATTGATTGCCTTGTAATAAAGTTTTAGTTGAAGGTAAGATACTTTTAAAGAGCATTAAGGTGGGGAGAAGACTCACTATGCTGTATTTTTGGGCTTGCTATAAAAGCAGAAGGTTTAATAGGGCCGAGAAACAATAAAAGCATACTTGGATCAGGAAGTGTAGGTATAATTTGAGTGGAGCTAACAGATTTTACGTACAACATTCAGTTTTGATATGAGTTGAGTAATTTTCCAGGGTTTTAGTTTATGGGAGTTGTCTGATATAAGGGGAAAAAGAACAACCAAACTTCACAGTATTGCAGCGCTTTAGTCGAATTTTGGGAGCAACTGACATGATATTGTATGTGGGCGTTGGAATATAAGGAAAATTTGAGATTATAGTTTCAATGCCTTGAAAGTGGAGAAAATTTGAAAGAAAAGCTCATTTAGATCAGGGAGGCATAAGTATAACGGAAATGATGTTCTTTTTATATGAGAATAATATAATTTACAATTAACGCAAAAGGAAATGTTATAGATAATTATACTATAGCCAACTCGGCCTTGTTTATACGGGTAGCATCTAAAATGAGCTTGGCTACGTTGAAACTCACTACGTTGAGATTCCATATTAAGGCCAAAACTGGACAGTCACTTAAAAGTTCAAAGCATTGAACTATCCAAGGGTGAAAAGATTATATAAGAAAGGAGAAGTTGTTTAACGGTCGAAAATAGATACAAAAACTGAATGCAAAAAGAGTAGATTTGGATACATACGTTATTAAAACCAGAAAGGAACAGGCAAAACATATTTGAGTCATGATTTTTAGCTTAAATGCAGGTAGAAAATTAGTTAGAGCCAATGAATCAGAGGATTTGGGTCGATAAGAAAATTTTATTTGAAAGGAGCAAACAAAAATAAATAAACTTATTTTTCCAAATTTTGGGAGTCTGTTCGCATACAATCAATCAGGAGAAGGCAGCTGGACTTTGAATTGAGGAAAATTTGGAAGATTTTATGTTGTTCAAGAGCTCATGTTATTGTTACAAACGAATCGCTTTTGGGTCCACAACTTTTTTTAACCCACCGATTTTTAATTTGTTTGAAGGTCAATTGATAGTAGGGATCCGTACAAATTCAAAAAGGTATAATTTTTGAAAATCAGACGTTATTTACCCGAGATATTAAAAAAAAAAAATCATCAAAATAGTTTTGATTTTCGAACCGACCCCGATTTTGATCAAAAACGTGCCATTTTGGTCGATTTGGGTCAAAATTTAGATTTTCTATTTTTTGATGCCAGTCGTTAGTACTGATCCTTACGAGTCCAAAATGGTATACAATTTGAAAATCGGACACTATTTGGCCGAGATATTCAAAAAAATCATCAAAAAAGGTTTGATTTTCGAACCGAACCCGATTTTGATAAAAATCGTGATGTAACCCCTTGCCATTTTGGTCGATTTGGGTCAAAATTTAGATATTCTATTTTTTGATGCCAGTCGATAGTACTGATCCTTAGGAGTCCAAAATGGTATAAAATTTGAAAATCGGACACTATTTGGCCGAGATATTCAAAAAAAAACATCAAAAAAGGTTGTATTTTCGAACCGAACCCGATTTTTGTAAAAATCGTGATGTAACCCCTTGCCATTTTGGTCGATTTGGGTCAAAATTTAGATATTCTATTTTTTGATGCCAGTCGATAGTACTGATCCTTACGAGTCCAAAATGGTATTAAATTTGAAAATCGGACACTATTTGGCCGAGATATTCAAAAAAATCATCAAAAAAGGTTGTATTTTCGAACCGAACCCGATTTTGATAAAAATCGTGATGTAACCCCTTGCCATTTTGGTCGATTTGGGTCAAAATTTAGATATTCTATTTTTTGATGCCAGTCGTTAGTACTGATCCTTACGAGTCCAAAATGGTATACAATTTGAAAATCGGACACTATTTGGCCGAGATATTCAAAAAAATCATCAAAAAAGGTTTGATTTTCGAACCGAACCCGATTTTGATAAAAATCGTGATGTAACCTCTTGCCATTTTTGTCGATTTGGGTCAAAATTTAGATTTTCTATTTTTTGATGCCAGTCGATAGTACTGATCCTTACGAGTCCAAAATGGTATAAAATTTGAAAATCGGACACTATTTGGCCGAGATATTCAAAAAAATCATCAAAAAAGGTTGTATTTTCGAACCGAACCCGGTTTTGGTAAAAATCGTGATGTAACCCCTTGCCATTTTTGTCGATTTGGGTCAAAATTTAGATTTTCTATTTTTTGATGCCAGTCGATAGTACTGATCCTTACGAGTCCAAAATGGTATAAAATTTGAAGATCGGACACTATTTGGCCGAGATATTCAAAAAATCGATAGTACTGATCCTTACGAGTCCAAAATTGGAGTTATGTCGTTTTCAAACGTCATATCTTCCGCGGATATATGTCGTTTTTAGACATCCATTTTGCGTCTGAGTCCATTAGCATTCCATATACCGATATGGAGAGCAGTCATATTGTAATTTTACTGAGAGCTGCGTAATGAATGAGAAAGAAAGTGTGATGTAGATACATTTGCTGGTGTGCTTGGCATGATTTTGCCAAGAGCGGATGAGGAAGGGAGGAGTTTGTTTAGTAAGTTATGCTTCTGTTATACCACTTGTGCCGTGACTGATTGATTGCCTTGTAATAAAGTTTTAGTTGAAGGTAAGATACTTTTAAAGAGCATTAAGGTGGGGAGAAGACTCACTATGCTGTATTTTTGGGCTTGCTATAAAAGCAGAAGGTTTAATAGGGCCGAGAAACAATAAAAGCATACTTGGATCAGGAAGTGTAGGTATAATTTGAGTGGAGCTAACAGATTTTACGTACAACATTCAGTTTTGATATGAGTTGAGTAATTTTCCAGGGTTTTAGTTTATGGGAGTTGTCTGATATAAGGGGAAAAAGAACAACCAAACTTCACAGTATTGCAGCGCTTTAGTCGAATTTTGGGAGCAACTGACATGATATTGTATGTGGGCGTTGGAATATAAGGAAAATTTGAGATTATAGTTTCAATGCCTTGAAAGTGGAGAAAATTTGAAAGAAAAGCTCATTTAGATCAGGGAGGCATAAGTATAACGGAAATGATGTTCTTTTTATATGAGAATAATATAATTTACAATTAACGCAAAAGGAAATGTTATAGATAATTATACTATAGCCAACTCGGCCTTGTTTATACGGGTAGCATCTAAAATGAGCTTGGCTACGTTGAAACTCACTACGTTGAGATTCCATATTAAGGCCAAAACTGGACAGTCACTTAAAAGTTCAAAGCATTGAACTATCCAAGGGTGAAAAGATTATATAAGAAAGGAGAAGTTGTTTAACGGTCGAAAATAGATACAAAAACTGAATGCAAAAAGAGTAGATTTGGATACATACGTTATTAAAACCAGAAAGGAACAGGCAAAACATATTTGAGTCATGATTTTTAGCTTAAATGCAGGTAGAAAATTAGTTAGAGCCAATGAATCAGAGGATTTGGGTCGATAAGAAAATTTTATTTGAAAGGAGCAAACAAAAATAAATAAACTTATTTTTCCAAATTTTGGGAGTCTGTTCGCATACAATCAATCAGGAGAAGGCAGCTGGACTTTGAATTGAGGAAAATTTGGAAGATTTTATGTTGTTCAAGAGCTCATGTTATTGTTACAAACGAATCGCTTTTGGGTCCACAACTTTTTTTAACCCACCGATTTTTAATTTGTTTGAAGGTCAATTGATAGTAGGGATCCGTACAAATTCAAAAAGGTATAATTTTTGAAAATCAGACGTTATTTACCCGAGATATTAAAAAAAAAAATCATCAAAATAGTTTTGATTTTCGAACCGACCCCGATTTTGATCAAAAACGTGCCATTTTGGTCGATTTGGGTCAAAATTTAGATTTTCTATTTTTTGATGCCAGTCGTTAGTACTGATCCTTACGAGTCCAAAATGGTATACAATTTGAAAATCGGACACTATTTGGCCGAGATATTCAAAAAAATCATCAAAAAAGGTTTGATTTTCGAACCGAACCCGATTTTGATAAAAATCGTGATGTAACCTCTTGCCATTTTTGTCGATTTGGGTCAAAATTTAGATTTTCTATTTTTTGATGCCAGTCGATAGTACTGATCCTTACGAGTCCAAAATGGTATTAAATTTGAAAATCGGACACTATTTGGCCGAGATATTCAAAAAAATCATCAAAAAAGGTTGTATTTTCGAACCGAACCCGATTTTGATAAAAATCGTGATGTAACCCCTTGCCATTTTGGTCGATTTGGGTCAAAATTTAGATATTCTATTTTTTGATGCCAGTCGTTAGTACTGATCCTTACGAGTCCAAAATGGTATACAATTTGAAAATCGGACACTATTTGGCCGAGATATTCAAAAAAATCATCAAAAAAGGTTTGATTTTCGAACCGAACCCGATTTTGATAAAAATCGTGATGTAACCTCTTGCCATTTTTGTCGATTTGGGTCAAAATTTAGATTTTCTATTTTTTGATGCCAGTC